TATATATGCAACAAATAATAAACAAGTTTATATTGAAATTAATATGTTAAATAAAGATATATGTGTATATTTATTAATAGATGTCGTCATTATTAATTCCTATTTGAATTATATATACATTGATAATTTATGTTTTAGCTGCCAATGGCATTTATCAGAACTCAGTATTTGGAATGGCAGCTAAATTACCTATCAGGTACACAGGTGCTGTTGTCTTAGGCTCGGTAAATATTAGCTTCAATCACATTTGATAAAGATTGCATAAAAACATTTGTAATTTGTTATCTATTGATTTTGTTTCAGAATATCTGTGGAACTTTTACAGCCATAATAAACTTCCTAGCTCAAATAATAGCGCCGAATGCGCGCACTGCCGCAATATATTACTTCATCACGGCTTTATTTATTCTCCTGGCCTGCTTTGACACGTACTTTGCACTTCCAATTAATGTAAGATTTTTATTAAAAATTAACTTTTAAGTCAAATAATTATAAATTTTTATTAATTAATACAGTGATTTATTAATTTTTAAACTAAATGTATAAAAAGGTTATTTAACTAATGTTAATTGAATTGAATCGTAGAGATTTTATCGATATCACGAGCTTCTTCATCAAAAAGAGACGAACAAAAGACAATTAGAGAACAATTCAAGAGGAAAACATAAACCAGCTTATTGGAAAGTGTTCAAAGCATGCTTTCCACAATGTTTCAACATATTTTTTATCTTCTTTGTCACTTTAGCGCTTTTCCCATCTGTCCAATCTGATATACAGTCTTCAGACAAGAATTTTGTGATTTCCTCTGAATATTATAGCAGTGTTATGTGTTTTTTAACATTCAATATCACTGCCATGCTAGGAAGTTTAATCGCATCGTTGGTTCAGTGGGTATGTAAACTTTAGTTTTTTGTATTTTATATTATTATATATTTATATTTTTTCTGTATGTAATTATATTACAAAATTATATTTTAAAATTATGATTGATAATATCTTTAATATATTTATTGTACAATTCTATTTGTTTATTAGTTAACTTTTATTTATTAATTCTTTTTCAGCCAAGCAGAAAGTATCTGGTGATTCCAGTGATTCTACGAGTTATCTACATACCATTGTTTTTGATTTGCAACTATCAGCCGATGGGCACAGAAAGAATATTGCCGGTACTTATTAAGAACGATTGGGTATTCTGGGTTATTGCCATTACTATGGGTCTTAGTAGCGGCTATCTGTCGTCATTGTCGATGATGTATTGCCCTAGGTAAGCATGATAAAATAGGGGAAAGGTTATCACACACACACACACACACACACACACACACACACACACACACCAATATTACTATTGAGAAATATTTTGTATTTAGAATGGTGGATTCGCAGTACGCTTCGACGGCCGGCATGTTTGGAGCGGCATCTTTGATGACGGGGATTTTTACTGGAATTCTGTTTTCCATGGTGATGCCTTCTATCGTAGCCAACATAACATTTTGATCGTTTTAAAGATAAGATTTAGCAATATGCTTATATTAACTCAGGAGCTAAAAAAAATATTGAAAATTAAGAGTGCAGTTTATCTCCCACACACACACATAATTACAAATTAAAATGATATGAAATAACAATTTAAAAGCTTGAAGAAATAACAATGTTGAAGAAGAAAAATAAAACGTTATTCCTAAGAACAACTCGAAAAAAGAAATGACATTTCAGAAACAAACATTACTTTCCTCGACACAAATAAGAGAGATGTTTTCCAGAATGCTCGTTTGCTTATATATACGTTAAATACATACATATATATAAATATATATCTAATCATACAATTCTTTAAATAATAATTATATGAGGATAAGCTCTTAATTAAGTAAAAGCTATTTGGAAGCAATGCGTGTTTTTTATAAGTGTGTGGCTTGGAGTTTCTATTGATTGATAATTTTTAAAGTCCCGTTATATATAATAGAAGAAATAGATATGAAAGTAAATTAAGACCATGTAAAGTGCATTAATAATACAAAATGATCGTCTCATACAATAGATTTGTATAGGAAATACCGGAATCCATGGTTTTATGAGAATTATAGAAACTAATTCTCTACTATTATTACTACTGCCCCTATTACTAAAACCGGACCAATAAGCCTTATTAATAAAAAGAAGTTATGCGGCGCTCCATTTTTTGTATTCAAATAGAAATCGCTAAATCATTATCAGGAAGATCACATATTTAAACCTGTAATTCGTTACGCGTTTAACGCATTTTTTATTTATTACAATCACATTTAAAAGAGAATAAAAACATTTACTAGAATTATTCTCTTATGTGGTGGTAAACGCGTAACGAGAATATATCTCTTAATAGATAAGCATTACATTTTTAAATAGAGTTTACTAAAGTTGTCATGCTGAATTTCCCTGCAGAAAATATTTCAATTTTGAAATTATTATACTAGCTATAGATATGTAATAGTATGAAACTAATTTGACAGACGCAATTTTAAATTCTAGCAGTTATTTCATAAAATCATTACACATATAATTTTATTTTATATTTATATTAATATTAAATTT